CTTGAAAGCTCGCAAGATCAGGATGGTCTCACGAGGCTAATGTATGCCCCCTTTGGAGTAAAATAATCTCTACTGCACATGTGTGCAACACCAGCGTGACGTTTTTCTCTTTATTCCTGATCTTCATCCACTCACTCCTGGTACTTAGTAGAGGAGGGGGCTCCAAATGCAATATGTGGATCAACAAGCTATCCTGACCTCTACCCCTGTAGTGAAAGAGTGTTAGCATACGATACTGCTGAGCCCTTAACTTTACTAAACTGAACCCCAAAAAACAAAAGAATGGACACAAAGAAATGTGAGCAGCAGGCACAAAGAGCAGCTAGAGTTGAGGATGAGCCAACAGAACAGGTGTGTTTACAAACCAGGCAGCTTCTTCTTCTACTACTAAAACATTTCTGGAAAATTAGACAGTTCTGCGCAGGCTCAGATTTTATTTTTTTAGTGTCTATGTAAACAAAGACTTTAAACTTCTGATTAACCTAGGTTTAATCGAATAAGGGGAAACTTTTTGCATGTAAACGTAGCTAATATAACCCCTTACACCCCCAGTACGGACTGTTCTCCCTGCTGCCCTCTGAGAAGAGGCTTCAGAGCATCTGCCGCAGGTTCAGTAGGTTCTGTAACAGCTTTTTCCCCACTTCCATCATACTGCTGAACTGTTGACACAAACCGAGACTCTGCAGCACCTGATAACACCAAACCGAACTCAACTCAATAATTTTTTACTGCATTTTTGCACCATATATATTTGTTTTTGCACTGCTCTGAACTTCCACATCAAAGCCTTTTGCACCAGTTTCTCCCACACTGTTTACACTTGATCACTGCTGCACTTTATGAAATGGGAATGTTAATTTCACTGCTAACTTGCTGCTCATTCACTGTCTGAAAGCTGTACAAAAATAAATTTCAGTGTCTCTGTGGATACAAAAAGAATCTGTATCCACAGAGTGTATACAAAATGACAATAAAAGGTGTCTAAGTCTAAAGTCCAAGTCTATAAGCTAGTCAAGGAGAAGTGGCTGTCATTCATGGTGGACTACAGTGTACAAACCAAGAAAAACGAACTTTGGCAATAATTATAATTTGGAATAATAAAAGCTTGCTTCTAAGTTAATATACAAAGAGAAAGAGGATGACTAAAGACTTTTACACAATAATTAGGAGCTGTTAAACTTTCATGCTTTCTGCATCAACAAATTGAATTTACAGCAGAGTTGTGTCCCATGAAGAACAGATGAATTAGCCATTGGCTGTTATTAGACTCTTGCAGTTTGCTCACAGCAAATAAATGAAAATAAGTGTGATGTGACCTTTCACCCACAGAGCTTCTTTCACCAGTCACCTTTAACATACTTTATTGACAAACCTTTGTGATTAGTCATAGCAGTGCTAAAGCCCACACCAGTGGCATCTGTCAAATTTTAAGGTGATGATATGATGATTTCAACATGTTTCTCTCAATGGAAAGCATTTCATTATGTGCTAAACCTTCTTAAAATGTACTTTCTTTTCTAATTTAGAATTTCTGAAAGTTTGTATATAAGCAATGATCAACTCTAATTTTAAAATAAGTGTTTGGCTTTTAAATCTAAAAATGTCTATTAATTCATTTGAATTATGTTGTGTTGGAAACCGTAAAAAAGCCTCTCCAGGCAAGTTTTCATTATAAATTATTTCTTCTCTCTTTATCTCTTTATTTTCAAAAATTAAATAGATTCCATTCGTCTATCTGTACTGTCCTTTGTTCCTCTAATTTTTGTATGAAGCTTCTAGAAAGATTTTAATTTTACTTTTCTTCACCTTAATGACTGTTATTTTTCCATCATCTGCCACTCTGCACCTTTTGGTTCTGTGTAAGTTTTCCTTTTGGGTTCTCATTTATGGTTTATTGTATGTTATTCTTTTTTGTCAATATTTATGTCATTTTTGCTGTTTTTTATTTATTGGTCTAGTTTTAGTTAGTTATTCTTTCTCTCATGCTTAGGAGAAAGTTATCTCCAGTTCCTTCGCTTATCCTCTAGTTTTCTCCTTGGTTAATCCTTCTTTTATGGTCATTAGTTTTATTCCCCTTTAGCCTTATTTAACTTATTTGCTAGTTGCAGTTAAGCCCTGTTTTCCCCAGTTGCTCTTTGTTGCCTCCTGTTGCCCCTTTCCTTTCCCCTTCGCTTCTTTCTAGCTGCCTCTGTCTGCACCTGCTCCCAATTAACTGATTGCACCACCCTTGGTTCTGTCTCACATATATAATCCTCCTCTGCAGTTCGTTAGTACTAGTTTCTTGTAAATTCCTTGTTCCTCGTGTGTTCCCCCTGATGTCTCCTGTTTTTTTGGTTTTCTGTAGTGTTTGTGAGATGAAGCCACTTGAGGCCTTCAACCGTTTTGGCTAATTGCTTCAACAATCCCCACAGTTCATAAAGTTTCATATGACCATGTCACCACCTACTGGGGAAGTGCATCTGGAGTACATCTGCGTACATCTTTTTTTACAGTTGTTTTTCTTTCCCAGTTAACTTCCCTTGAAATTGTTAATGATTGGTGTGTATAATAAAATCTTTTGTAAGTTTTGTGTGTGTGTGTAAAATGTCTTAGAAGAGTAAAATCATTTAAGGTCTACTGTTTTTGTGCCAGTTTAATGAAATAATCTAAAGCAGACAGTGAAACTGCTTGTCCAAATTGGGCAATGACGAGCAAAATCAAAGTTGTAAGTCATTTTTATTTAAACAAAATTTTTTTTTTTTTTTCACAGTTTTTGGTTTTAATCTAGTTGGAAGTTATGTGTTCAACCAATCTTTTGGTTAAACCAACCAGTTTAATTTGCCAGTGTTTTTACCCAATCTATATATATATATATATATATATATATATACAAGGGAAAACCAATACAAATTAGTCACATTAGCCAAAATACTTGTACTAAAATACGTGTTTTAGTGCAACTTTAAGAAGTCCAACTTGGGTTTTGAGCCAACAACCTCAAGAACGGAAGTAAATATTTTAGAGCTGTTAGCATTGTTTAATCCAACCAAACTAGTTTTATCCAACTAGATTGGCTTTTTTTTTTCAACCAATCTATTCTTAGAATATCCAAACTCTATCCAACTATCCTACAAACTGCCGAAGTTCGGGGCGAAGTTCTTACCGAAGGCTTTGGATGTCATCTATTTTGGCTCCTCCCCCAAATGAAGGAAGCCTCGATATGCGCCTGGTGGAAAATGCCCCCTCTAATTTTCGACACACGCCTCGAAGCCTCATCTCATCTCATAACATCACTAGTTTTCTGTATTTTGTTATTTTGGGACTTTTGCTTCTGATACCTTGGATCTGCATTAAATTAGACTCATCCCTGCCTCCTTACGTCCCTGCATTTGGGTCCACTCCTGCTAAGGCTGTTTTACAGTGTTTCTGAAACTGACATGATACCAAAACTTTCTATCTTTTTTTTTCCCCATTTCCCAAAATGTACCCCTTCTGAATCACCATAAAAACTCTGAATTAGGGTGCATAGAACCCATTTATTTAGGCATATATTCATCATTCAATTAGCATTGCAAATACTGAATGCTCCTTTTCCACTCATGCAACCTTGTCTCTTAGCTGATGCAGTAGATTTTAGAATTTGTATAACAGTCTTGTCTTTTAAAACATGATAAATTAATCAAGCATAAAAAATACAAAGAAATCTCATTTCTATAAATGTGTGATGGAAATAATTTAATGGAAAATATGATTAACTTCTCAGACAAATATTTGTTAATCAACATGAATGATTCTAGTAAGTAACTATGGATCATCCTCATTTTTATGTTATTTCGCATAACATATCTTTTTATTTCCTTCATTTATTAAAGTATGGATCAACATTGTTGCATTTTAGAGTGTCTGCAGTCACCCTGGTCTGAAACAGAAGAAACGTTTCCTAGTTTTTATGCTAATTGAGGCTTCACATCTTGACTCCATCTTTGTACATCATGCAGACTCATATGATTTATATCAAACTTCTCTTTTCACACCGAGAATTAAATAAGACTGTTCCCCTTTAAAGGGAACTAAAAGGCAGACTTTCGGAAAATTGTGAAATCTAGTGTGAAAACTCTGTTCTTAATAGACCCTATTGTAGGGTTAAAAACTGCCTTTTTTTTTGGGGTAAACCAAGATCGGAGTGTTTAGGGTAAACTGTAGACATGATGAAATACCACACGGCTGTTTGAAAACCGTCTTAAGTAATGTAATTCAGTGCTTTCAGAACAGCTCAAACGTGGTTGCACTTTTTCACCAAGCTAGAGCCCTAACCACACTTATTACCTCCTCCCCTGCAAGATATAAGAGAGGTAAAGACTCTCACTTTATTGAATAGCGGAAACAAACATATCAACTAAATAATTGCTTTCATCAAAATCTCATGTCCAATACTTACTAGTAAATTTACTTTAGACAACTTACTAGTAAATTGCTTACTAGTAAATTTGCTGTTAATATAAAACCTTCTGCCAATAGGACAGTTGGATATCACAAGGTCGGAGCATAGAGATGCATTATTTGACTCTTTGCAAAGTCTCCCGGATCCGTTCCTTTGATCTCTTCATATACTCATTCTCTATAGGATTGAGGTATAATCTGTGTTGATCTGATTGTATGTTTTGAATCATTATCCTAATGTAAGCACAAAAGGCCGTCATGTATTCTCAAAATGGTCTCATGGCTTTTAGAGTAGAAACAGGCCCACATCATCACAGTTCATCTGCCCTACAGTTTGCATGAAAAGCTTTTACACATATTTAGGTTTTGTTTCTTGCCAGAACCACTTTGAATGGGTGCAATTCAATTCATTTCAATCTTAGTCTTACAGAACCTAAGCACTTAGCAGAGTTAAAAAAAAACTACACTTATTAAGGTTTGTGATATTACAACAGAAAACCTTTCTCCAGGCATATCTTCCAGAGATCTGTATTTAATTAGCGTCTAATGGTTGTCATGGAAACTTATTGACCCAAGATGTTGCCTTTTGCTGCATTTTTTAACTTTGCTTAATTCTACTAATTTCATTTCATCTCCTATTCCATCCCTTTTTAAGCACCTCTTAAAGAACGGTTGCTGTTGACGGCCGACGTTGTGCTGAACAAAACCTTTCCAAGTTATATCAGATTATCTTAAGTTATTCAAGTTATATAAGATCCAGCAACAGTAGGCACTACATCTGAATAGTGAAATGGGCCAAGTTAATAAAACATTTACTTGCTTGTTTATGGCCGGTAATAATTTTTAAGAAAACCTGTTGTCAAACATAAAAAAAAATGTGTGTCATAGAACTTAACATTAATGGAATCGGATCCCTCATCACAATACCAGTGTGTCCAATATTGGAAAAAGAAATATTTTTTTGGATGTGGGATGGAGATTTGTAGCAACAATATGTTTCACTCTTAAATTATGTTATGAATATGGAAAATTAGTGGTTTTCAAAGGGAGCCTAAAACAGAGGGATGCAAAACCAGATACTAAACAAAAACGTATTGTCATTTTTGCCCTAAATATTTGCCCTAAATGTTAAGTATGTGTTTCCTACTGACTGCTGAGAATAGAGGGACTGCACTGTATTTCATCAAGTTCTAGACTGTAGGATTAGTCCATTTAGTGGCTGCAGGGACAGTGGAAGGAGAACCATCACTGTTTTATATCAGTCTATTCTCTGGCCCAGATGCTAAAAGTCAAAGCGCAGAGTAGTGGTGACACTGTAGTATAGAAGAAAGAAAATGTGGTCCAATGATGAGCAAATATGTTGAATTGATGAACTGTTAAAATTACGTGTAGCCCTGATATTTAGTCTATAAATTAATTTCAATTATTCAATTCTAAAGTCATGTAATTAGTGATTTAAAATTCCAGAACTAAATGAAGGGACCTGATGAATGACCTGCAGAGAGCTGCCTGGGACCAAAGTAACAAAGGCTACCATCAATAACATAATACACCCAGAGGAAGTCACATTGTGTCTCCTCCACTGAAGCCAGAACCTGTCCAGGTCCGTTTGAAGTTCACCAGAGAACACATGGATGATCCAGAAGAGGATAGGGACAGCATCATGTAATGCCAAAGATAGGTACTAACTCAACACATCATGATTGAGAAAGAAAAAGTCTGAGTTGCATTCCAAGAACGCCATACCTACTGTAAAGCATGGGGGTGGAAACATCATGCTTTGGGACTGTTGGGCGATGTAGCATGATATTTTAAGCCAAAACCTCCTTCTATCAATGAGAGCATTAAAGATGAAACATTTCTGTGTCTTCAAGCATGACAATGATTCCAAAAAGATGGCTTAGAGCATGAAGCTGTGGTTCCATTAAAAAAGCATTTCAAGGTCCTGGAGTGGCCTAGCCAGTATCAAGACCTCAACCCCATAGAAAATTTATGGAGGGAGTAGAAAGTCCACGTTGCCCGGCAACAGCCCCGAAAAATCCCTGCTCTAGAGGAGATCTGATGGAATAATGAGCCAAAATACCATCTACTATGTTAGAAAACCTGTTGAAGACTGACAGGAAACATTTGGCATCTCCCATTGCCAAAATATTATGCTACAAAGTATTGAGTTGAACTTTTTTTATTGAAAAAATACTTATTTTCTACCATAAATGACAAAGATTTGATTTTTTTCTCTCATTTTTTCTCTCATATTTGAGGTGAATCTATGATATAAATTACAGACCACTCATCTTTATACGGTTTCTCTTTTTTTGCACCACTGAACATAAGTAGGTCAAAGTCAAGTTAAAAGTGGTATTATATGCTGGATAAAAATCCTTTTTCAGCATGAGGTAATATGCTTACATTGCTTATGGCGTGTGTGAGACTGCTTACGTATTTCGCCAATGAAATAAGGAAAAATGTTCTGCCTTCAAAATAAAAGTCTATTCTTTCCTAAGTAATAGCAGCCTATGTACATTTAAGTCCTAAATTAGCATATCTGTGAAGATACTCAGTCAAGCTTGAAAAAGTTTGATCTTGGTGTAGCTTTCTAAAGACGTCTCGCCATCTCAGATTTAAAGAAATCTATTCATTTCTAACTAGTGGTTGGGAGCACTGAGATCAATATACCGTAGGTCTAACAAAGAAATCAGGGAGGAAAAATTAAGGTATTGGTCCCTTCCACTGGATTGGCCAAGGAGGACAAATGGGGGGTTTTAATGGTCGTTAGGGGGTTCTGATGTGTCATTAACACCCTCGACAGAGTGGTTTCGGTCACATGCCTCACTAAAGTGTGAGTCAAGTGAGGCTGGGTGAGAGGTGAATCTTCTGGGTATTGTTCCTAAAAGAGCTTTGTAGTTGGGTAAAAGCTTATGTCTAAGACCACTTCCTCTGCTGAGAGATGGTTTTTTCAGGTTAACAAAGATGGTTTTCTTAAGCCCTTGCTGAAACCATCTTTCTTAATTTGCAAGAACATGGATATTGTTGTTCTCAAACGAGTGTCCTTTAACTTTCAGGTGTAGGTGAACAGCTGAGTCCTGTCCTGAGGAGTTGGCCCTCCTGTGTTGAGCCATGTGCCTAAGTGGTTGCTTAGTCTCTCCAATGTATAGGTCTGAATGTGACAGGTTTTGTCTCTCTTGGATGAGAGGCGAAACATCTTCTATAAAACTTCACGTCGAGTTGACTAGACTGATTCTAAATTAAAATTTATGCAAGTTTTACTCTCTCATTTTAATCCCAGAAGTTCAAGCATGTGTTAAGGACAGGATTTGATGTCAGTAGTATGTATATTTTTCTCCTCTTTGTAAATCTCCTGAAATGAATTGATGTATTTTACTCAAATTTTCTATGTATTTTCTAAGTATTTTGAGTATGTGTGTTGACTTTTTAATAACTCACATTGATGGAAGGCCAGGACTGGGCGTGCTCTGATGTTGTGTATCCCTGCTGCGGATGGCAGCTGAGGTTATTGGGCCTCTGAGGGATGGGAAAGGCTGTGCAGGACGCCGGGCCCCTCATGACGCTGCTGGGTAGACCAGGAGAGAGAACGCCCAGAGTCCTCGGGGGGCTGATGGGATGTGGGCAGGTCCACTCCTCTTCATCCTCAGAAGACTGTGGTGGTTGGGGGGCAGGCGTGGAAGGAGGAGGGGGCTCAAAATGAAGGTGAGCCACCTCTGACAGAGGGAAAGGCATCTCTCTAGAGTGGCGCATGGAGCTCTCACCCATGCTGCTGTCTCCACCCGCTTGAAGGGGGGACGGGGATCCTCGGTGCTGCAGTCCGCTGTGAGAGGAGCTGATGTGTTGGGACTGCTGTTTTTGGTAGCCCTCCACATAGGGCCGTGGCTTTGGCAGGGTAGAAACTGGGTCTAAGGAGAAGCGAGGTGGGCACTGGTAAGCTGAGGGGTCGGCTACCTCTGAGTAACTACGGCGACCCTGGAAACTGGCTCTCAGGTGCTGGGTGGGCGGTCGGTAGGAATAAGAGGCAGGTCCGTCGCTGACGTCCAGGAGTGGGGAGCGGCGATGCATGTCAGGAGAAAGACGCTGCAACACCGGAGAACGCCGCTGCTGGATCGGGGAGTGATGTGGCGGCACTGGTGAATGGCGCTGAGAGATGGGCGAGTGGCGCTGGGACACCGGAGAGTGACGCTGGTGGTGGATGGGAGAGTGAAGCTGCACTGTGGGAGCGGAGAGGGAAAACCAACATTTAGAAACCTCAAACAAAACTAAGATATATGTGATTCATGGCAAAATCACCACAAAATAAATACTGCACTGTATGTAGACATGTTGAAAATATGGCCTCTCCCTTTATTCTATGATTTTTTTTTATTCGATTTTCCAAGTTTCTCTTAAACAGACAGACAAAGTAAAGCCCATTCACTGCAATTTATTAATTAAATAAAATAATATATGAGGTGATACCTGATAAATTCTTGCAGAACCATTTATCCTCTAAAATGTATAAAAATTAGGACTATTTAACAAAGCATGCATTGAAGTCGGTCATATTTAAAAAAAAATATTATGGTGAAGAATTTTCAATGTTTCAGTCATCTGGGGGACAAACCTTTTATCTGTCATAGTGATTCTAATGAAACTGAGATAGTCAGCTTTCATAGTGAGGATTACCTCATCTATCTTTTTGCTCTTATTTTACTAAGAAGTTACAAAGCACCAAATCAATTTCAGTGGGAACTATCATTATAAGCTGAATGAAATTGTGAACCTTCAAGGTACTAGTCAGTTTTGAACCCAAGATTCTATTTGATATATATCATATCTTATGATTCTGTGTCAATGTAGGTGTCCCAAGTCTAACTAGAAGATCCCGTTTCCAAACAGACCAGCTGAAACCCTAAGTAAAGCAAAACATTAGTGAAGTCATCTAAAAAGGGCCGTGGAGAGCAAACGTTCTCAATACTTAAAAGCTTGAAAACATCACCAAGTCAGGATGTGGGTTGTTTTCCAAAAAACATGTGCAACTAGCTTAAGTACACGTAAATTGTACAAATCAATCTGTTTCTTGCTGTGCAATATATATATGCTGTGAAATATATATCTACTGTATATATCTATATATATCTATATATATATATATATATATATATATATATATATATATATATAGATATTAGGATTCACCACCGAAGCAACACTGATTCATAATCAATTTTACATGCAAATGGATTGGCACTATTCTATTTGCACAACAAATGTGTTGCAAGACACACTCGATAAAGGAGTGGTTCTGCAGGCGGGGACCACAGACCACTTCTCAGTATCTATGCTTTCTGGTTGATGTCTTGGTCACTTTTGAATGTTGGTGGTGCTTTCAAAATTGTGTTAGCATGAGATGGACTTTACAACCGACACAAGAGGCTCAGATATTGCAGTTCACCCATGATGGCGAATTAATGCGTGGTGTGGCAAGAAGGTTTGGCTCTGTCTGTCAGAGTGGTGTCCAGAGGCTGAAGGCGCTACCAGGAGAGAGACCAGTACACTGTGAGATGTTGGGGAGGTCAAAGGAGGTCAACAACCCAGCAGCACAACCTCTTCCGCCGCCTTTGTGCAATGAGGCACAGGAGGAGCACTGCCAGAGCCCTGCAAAACGACCTCCAGCAGGCCACAAATGTGCATGTGTCTGCATTAACAGTTAGAAACCATCTCCATGAGGATGGTATGATCAGGGCTGATGTCCACAGATGGTGGTTGTGCTCTAAGCCCAACATCGTGCAGAATGCTTGGCACCAGGATTGGTAAATACACCACTGGTGTACTGTGCTCTTCACAGATATAAACAGGTTCACACTGAGCACACGTGATAAACGTGATAGAGTCTAGATGCTAATATTAATACAAATATCGATTCCGAGGTATTTCAATATATAAAGTGGAACTCAAATCACAAAACTTGTTCATCCATCATGTTTATAATTCTTTATGTTTGAGTGATCAATAGTTGGGAGTTAGACTGTTTTATAAAAAAGAAAACAAACTACTGTAGTCTTATGGAAATTGAAATATCTAAAGTTAAAAGCTTGCCTTCCAGGCTAACCAACATGTAACAAAGCCTTTGTTTTGTTGGCTTAGAAAAACATGCAAACGTCTGTTTCACAGTCTAAGCTGTTGAATTAACATTTCACTGTTTTTTTCTCCCACATAGATGCATTACTTAGATAAACTGAAAGGAATATATTCTAAAAATGTCTGTGAAAAATAAACTGCTAATTTTTTGCTGCTCTTATCTTTGACGTGTGCCTTCAATTGTTAATATGCATTTTCCTTATCAGACATCAATTGTGGGCAACTACTGCAGAATAATGTTTTGCATCAGACGTTGCAAAAACACATTCAGTTAATAGAACTGAGCTTCATGTTCCTCTATGGGTCCATAAAAAGGATTTATCAGCAGAAGTATAGTTGTAGTGTTTCCTGTAATTACAAGATATGTTGATGAGTGAGTCAGCTCCATAGTCACCACTAGAACTTCACTTCCCATAATAAAGAGGAAACATCCTCTCTGGGTGCCTGGCTATAGGTGCTAAAGACAGAAGCACCTATAGCTTCAAGAGGTCAGGAGATTTTGTACTTATTGCTTTCTCTGAATTGGGAGGAAACTTGTGGACGTTCAGTGCATGCTCTATCGTTTAAGAAATCTTCCACGGCTGCAAAAAAATTCCCTGGATGCACAAAGAAATCACCAAAAATAAATGTTTGATTGTTAGAAATAGCTGAAAGCTATTACGTACACATTCCTAATTAACTAACTGAAGTCTTTTGTTCTATTCTGTGTGCTCGGTTTGTGGTTGGTAGAAGATGCAAACCTGTGAGACAACATGTGTCTCTCTATGCATGCAGAGAAAGGTGTTGCTACCGTTTAGCACTTCTTTACTTTTACTCCACAACGTGCGTCTCTGATTTCCTATCTTTACTTTTTAAGTGAGAAAAGAACACAGACAAATCACAACTGGCACTGAGAAAAATGTAGTAAATAAGGAAACAAAATTTATATACATTTAATTTGTGTTTAAGATGTTTTAAAAGCTAATGTTGTGCGATGAGAATTTTATCATTCATTCAATAAGCATTCAAGTATTTTGAGGGCCTGCATGTAGGTTAATAAGATAAAAGCCCAAACTGTCCTAGTAAAGCTAGTTGCAGTACTAAACTTAAACAAAACACTAGCAGGTTTCTGTGAAGAAAAAATCAGTTAAATCGAATGATGATCAAATAATTTAAGAATTTGTTACACATCTAACAACCCAGCTACAATTTTGTTTTTATAAAGAAAATAAATACTAAAGTAGGAGTCAATCCAAAATAATGTGCAAATGAGACTTCCATATATTCTGACAGATGTATGTGATACAAATAGACTGCACAACCTAATATTATTATACGGTGCATAAGCCCAATTATGAAAGAATATGTTTTTTTTTTTGTTTTGTTTTTTTTTTACTATTTTCTTATTTACCCTCTTAGAAATTTAAATTTGTTGTTTTTTAAGTTAGAGTTAAAATGTTTGGTGAAAAGGGCTCTAAATGAATTCCTCTTGGTTGTTATTTTATTATTAAAAAACGGTCACTATCCTTGTGGGTAATCACTAATCAGCTGCATTGGTAAGAGGTCCTTTTGTAAACTGGTTCTACTAGAAACCATAAATTTATGATCTATGCATTTCTAATAACTTATTTTTTTTCTAATGAAATATAATAAAGATAATTGATGATAAAAATTAATGCTTGTTAGAGCTGCATTGATCACGGTTTTTTGACACCAAAAAAAATCAAGAAAAATAAACGAACATCATTCAGAAGATATTTATTTATTTCTTCTATTATAATCCATCAGTGTCTTAGAAAACAATTTCTGTAGAAAACTGTCAAGATGATTAAAAGTGATTGATTTGAATTTTTTGTGTTTTATATTAGCAACTCGCCAATTAAATTTGAACTCTAAACCACAGTTTGTCCATCTTTTATTAGAGACACAAACAGAAACATTTACAAATCAAGCATGTTTCATGACAGATAGTTATAAATCTCAATTAAGTAAAAACAGAGCTTCTGCTAAAAATCTCGCTCTCTGTTCTCAGAAAACCTGCATAAAAATTTAGGGATGTCTTGACATGTTGGAATAAAAAATAGAGCTTCCTTTTTAACAACTTTTATCACCTTTTGTGTCCTCTGATACTAAAAAACAACCAAGAGTCTCTTTATTGTGCTTAAGCATCTTGTAAGCTAAAGGTTGCTGTTATCAACCTAACCAGCTTGTACTGTACTTATGTATGGTGCATTTAGGGACTGTAAACAAATGAAGGACACATATTCCTCCCACTTAGATCCAATCAAGCTGATAGTTACTTTCTAAAAATTTTTTTTTTAATTGTCTCACAACTTTTTTTTTAATCTAATGTAAAAAAAAAAAATACAAGAGAAGTATGGACTTGTTAGGTAATCTTACAGCTGCTATTATATAGTTATGATACCATAGTCCAGCACAGATCAATGTGATGTTATGCAAGTAAAACTATCATTCATATAAATATATTTAAAGTCCCTTTAGGATAATCTATCTTTTTTTTTAAGTGTAAGAAAAATCTGGGGGATTGTAGGGTGTGTAGAGGGAACATGCTATACTAGATATTTGTTGATTATACAATACAGTGTAGATAATGTATCCATGTTGTGGTAAATCAGAGATCCTGTTCTGAACCGGTAAGCATTTTCTTTTGAAGTGCATGCTGAAGTTTCACTGTGAATACACAACTGTTTTCATGAAGCGCTCCTCCAACGTTCCTGCAGAAAAAGGACGCGGTGTTTCAACACAGAAACGCTAACCTGGACTGGCGGGTTCCTGCGCCGCTTTTCTCAGGATCTCCGTCTGCTTGGAGCACAGCGCTTGGAGGCGTCCCAGTTCCTCCGTTAACTCTGTGTAGGCCAGAGCCAAATTCACCCTGAAGGAAGAGAGGAGGAGGGCAATTATATAATTATCATAATCATTGTTACAGCAGAACATTACAGTGTTGGCACAATGTTAAGGTGTTACAACTGTGTGTTTGCTTAAACAGTAATTGCAATGAAATTCTTGTCAAAATGCAAATTATTCAGTCCCTAACGCCAAGAAGTGCTCACAAACGAGAACATAAATTAATCTTCATCTACTCTGAAGCAGAAGACGACCTGCTGCAGTGACACACTAATTGAGAAGCTCATATTTTTAGATTGCACGTCTGAGCGCATAATTTAAAATCGCACCATTTTCATGCAAGATGTGTCTTGACACTCTCAGGGGCTGTGTTGACGGAGAGGCTCTATTTCCAGAGCTCTAAACCAGGATGGCTGCTGAACAGGCTTCTGTGTTTTAACCATGGCAACAAAATGACTTCCTCACGCCTCATTTCAGAGGAACTGAAATTTATTAAATGAGTTAAAGTAATAATAATATAAATCTTAATAGCAACCCGTCTTCACTTTGATAACAGCTTGTTGTTGTCAGATCAGATATGGCTGCAGTTTTTATAAACTCCTCAGCCTTGATCTTAAGTCGACTCATTCAGGTGCAGACGGCGATAGATAACGACACTTTTTATTATTAGGTTAAGACACGAAACCATACATCTAGCATAAAATCTACAAAGATAAGCTGCTCAACCGGGTAATTTCTTTTACACTGGAAAGGGCTTCAAGAAAAACCTATCATTTGTTTCATCAACAGATTGAGAATTTGCAAGTTTCAATACACTTCATCGTGAGCGTCATGTGAAATTCATCACACCTACATGAAAGCCTCATTGTGTAATGAAACATCTCTGAAAGGGTAAACATAAACCAAGGCAGCACAAAGATCTGCCTGGAGATAAATAGATTTTTAAAAAAACAAGGTTGAAAAGAGGATGTTAATTTTGCACAAGGCCTTTTAGAAAAGCGCTGAAAGAATTGATGTGATGACCTTGCTAAAAAAAATTGACTGATCTCATTCTTCCATAAAGATTGTGATAGATAAAAAAAACAACTTAACTTCTGCATATCTCGGGGAGTTTTTCTGCATAAAAAGAAAAGATAGAAACTTCCCTGCAAAAACAGAGAAACACCCTTCCTACACAGTAACCTGACTGTAAATTTTTAACATATGTTCTGCAGCCATACCCACACGCTTATCTAATGTAGTTTTATTTGCTCCTGCATATTTAATTTTTGTATTAAAAACTCTTTTAGGTTTTACTTATTAAATCCACTTTTTTAATGGTGTCTATTTCAATAGAAATTGACTCTCAAACCAGATTTGCTAACTCATTGCTCTCATGTCTCTTTCAACATTAATATGAGCGACCAATAGACATCCACCTTAATGCAAAAAAATAAAATATAAATGACGGTGTCCATTTCGGGGAGGTATGCTGAGAAAAACCAGAAAAATAACTGAACAGCTCATAACTTCCAGCCGTTAGATGGTGCTTGCTAATGGCCCAACTAACTGCAGTGACTCAGAGTGGGGGTATCAAACCCATCAATCAGCCCACCTTTCTACCAAATACTTCTTTCCTTTTGGTTAAAGTTGGTGCAGCTTTCAATGAGCATCCCTGTCCGTGGTTTTTAAACCCGCTGCAGGAGATAAAATGAGTAATAATAATTTGTTACTTACTGGCATGGTGGGTGGAGAATGCAGCATAATGTTATTTAAAAAATGGTCCACAAAACTAAAAAGGCCCTCATTCTTTACTCCAGCATCGACTCTTTATATCTACAAGCTGATGTACAGTGAATTTATTGACAGTTTATAATTGACGCACCTCTTCCTTTTCACACTTATGCCATCGCACATTTCAGAACTGCTCATGTCTTTTAGCAGTTTTACAAACAGGTCCTGGCCAACTTGCAACACCTCTGGGTCCTGGCTCTACACCAGAGCAAAGAGGCTGACATTTAATAGGTTTTCTGTTTGTCTTTGCATTGAAAACTGCTTCACAAATTCACTTGCATGCATTTGCTTTCTTGTGCATATGTTCATTTGTTTCCTCTTTTCTTTCTTGAATGTGAGTGTGCACGTTTTGTACAGTGTACACTACGGTGCGTGGGAGGGGTGTGATAAAGCCAATGCAGCATTGATGAAAGGGTTGTGCAAGTGGATTGATCAGGTAGAGAAGCGTACAGTATGTGTGTGTACATGAGTGGGAGATGAGCGTGGGCTGAAATCTGACCTCTGATCTGATGTTTTAAAGGGAGAGCAGTCTCCACACCTTCCTCTGGGATCTGACGTTCCCTCATTGTTGGCATGTACTAAGAGAAGCATGAACATAATGCCTCTTGTTTCTTTAACTGAGAAAATGAGAGGTATTACAAGAAAAGGAAGCAGATTTTTTTTTAGACCTTCTGAGGCTGGGGTCTCACAGAAATTGGACTTTGTTGTTTTTTTCACACTTTAAAGAACTTATTCAGAATTTTGTTGTGCACTGTTTAGTGTTACACAGAAAGGTGTCAAACTGCTCTCACACCAAGCCACAGTTACGTGGTGATTCTTTGCATCTGTATTGTGAACTGTGCTGCGCTCAATATATAAAGAAACAGAAAAGTAAATAGTGGTAAGAAGTTTTATTTGGGCTTTGAGAATTTCAGGAATCGCAACCACAGTTCTGTAAACAAATATTTGTCCCTTTAGATATTTATCTTTTTACTTTGGGTCACATTTGAATGTTTAAATTAATTAAATAAATATTATTTTTAGACTAAGATCACCAGAGTAAATACGAAAAAGAAGTATTATATTGTAAATCACTGCAGTACAATACTCTATTTTTTTTATTTTCCTATGTTATTTTTATACGCTTTTCTAAGGTGCACATTGTGTGACCAGTTCTACTATAACCTTTGCAATTTACTCTATTTTCTATTTCTATTTTCCTTAATTTTCTTTTCTATTCTAAGTTTCTAAATGATTATCTTATATTTTAAGGTTAAAAAATAGGAGCTGCCCAATTATTCAGAGGTGAACCCTTAGAACATCTAAACCTCACAGAGCGCAGACAAAAGGCAAGATGATGATCGAAAATAATATTTAACTGGACATTTGCATGTTAACTTTTAAATCGTCTACATGTAATTTTATAATCAACATAAAAGTAGGATCAGCATCCATTAAAATGTATGAAATATCTTACAAAAGAGAACTATGTTTACTATGTAACTGTAACACATTTACAGTGAATAACAAGTGGTTTTATGGTTTCCATCATAGCAAAGCACATTATAACCTGTTTTGATGAGTACAAAATTTATAGACTAACTTCACTATTCCTTTAATGCTGTTCTAGATTACAACATGGCAAAGTTAGTGTTAGTTTATATTACATTAGCATGCCTAAATGTTTTCTTTTTTCAATTCTGACCGATCTGTTCTCTTTTCGATTATGTTTTTTATTCTATTATATGTTTTTTATTTTTTATGAATTTTGGTTGTATAGGTTGTAGTGTGTCCAACGTTGTACATTGCATGTCTCCTACGTTTGTTATGTCATCTTATCAAATTCTAGTTGAATACACAAGGTAAAAAAAAATAGAAACCCACTGATATTCTCTTGTTTAGAATTACTGGTAGCATGTTTAAAAAGGCTCCTGCAACAGTCCTGCACAATCTTTTCTGTCGGATCCGATGTAATGTTTAAAAATGTAGAAAAGCCTGTATTTGAAAATTTAGAACAAGAGTTTTAAACAACGCTGCAATATCAATTAATTCACTGTTATGAGTTCGTGGATAATTGGAACACAAGATTTAATTCCAGTTTTTTTGTATAAAATTTCAACAAGAAAAGGGGATTCCACTTTAACAGGCTGTGATTTATTTGAAATTGCTCTCACTTTCTGTAAACTGAGGACAGATTAGTCAGTCTCTACGTGAAGGAAGAGTTCTGCATTGGCAGAGAGGGGGTTGATCCAAGGGGTAATTGGCAGGTGCCTGTTGTCGCCTACAGTGTTGTGGCTTGAGGTCGATGATGGCAACTTTTTCAAGCATTAACGGTTCTCATTGACAGAAAAAGGTTCGCAAGCGCAGTTACAAGAAGCACAGTGGCATAAGATGGTTGTAAAAATGCAGAAGTTAACTCAAACACAATAATTAAATATAAAATAAAATGTCTGTTGCTTAAAAAACATTCACATACTGAGAAGTTTCTAAATTTCATCACTAATTAACAGTCAGAAGACTTTTATAAAGATTATAAGGGTTAGAGCAAAACTGCAGTGTTAATGTTCTTAACAAAATCTACTTTTTGAATGTGTCCAATTTACACTAAACAGGGCCAATTACAAGAAAAAGCTTCAGGAAAAATGTAGAGGCAATTCAGTAGGAGTAGGCAATATTGTTGAGTAAAACCAAAAGGTGACCAAGGTCTGGAAAAAAGTACTAGACTTCCACCGCATACTTAAAACAAAACGAGAAAAAAAAAAAAAGGCAGCCTCGTACTGCTGCCGTACCATTTACTTTCTGTTTGCTCCCCATCGAAACACCTCTGGGGTTTCATTGTGTGGGAGTCAGTTGCCCAACCGCTGTGGTTTTTCTTTTCTTTTTTTTCTTGGGCCTTTTTTTTATAGCTGACACCTTGTAAACATTAGATAGCAGGGGCAATTTTAGTTGCAGATGAAGGAAAAGGACCGCCCTCAGTGCCAGTAAAAAAAGTTAAAAGTATAAAAACATGCAGAAGATTTTATTCTGATAGCTTAGGGAGGGAATGATAATTAAATGTGAAGATTTTATGCTTTATTGAAATGTTAAGGATATAAATTTTAAACATTAACTGGACAGTTATGTCCTGCTTTGTACATATACTGCCCCCTGCTGTTTAGGGCGATTATCTCCAGAAAGCATGTCCAATTTAATATATTTTTTTTATTTTTCTGTTTTGAAATTTTCATATTATTTTTCTGTATAGGTATCATGAGAATAAAAGTCATAGAGAACATATATATATATATATATATATATATATATATATATATGTGGGTGTCTGTTTATGACAGACTGATTAGACTTAAAATGTAGATATATAGCACAGGGAATGAGTAATGAAAAGTTAAAAATTCGTAATCGTATTTTTTCTATATGTTTTCTATCTGTTCCAAAGCTTATTAAAATCCACATTATCCTTACCATGCCAATGTTAGCAGTATTGTCATGCTAATGTGAACAGATGCCCTGATTAGTCTCATCACAAACAGTCGTGTCCCTTTAAAGGCTTCTTATGTGACCGTTATTCACCATGACTAACCTCTGTTTCCTTTTGTTTGCTTTGTAGTTGTTTTCTGTGTCATCTTGGCTTTAGTTTGATCTTTTCTGCGTAAGTTTCCTCTGTGCTTCACCTGCTCTGATTGTGTGTATTTTTCACAATTAGATCTCAGATCTGGACCCAGTCTGACCAACACATTTTCTTGGGCCATTTTCTTTTCTCTTTCACCAAACACCGGGAAAAATCCCCTTGTAGAGTATATATTCACACGTAGCCGCAGCATCCAAACACCATCACTCTTGTGTTAATGCTGTTTGAACCCAGTTAGTCAGTGATTTGAGAACTTATTTGCTTCCTAATGAGGCCCCTGGAGCACATCCCAGCAGGACAGCAGCGATGAGCTCGCGCTGAAACATTTCTAAATCTTGCTCTTTTTTGGTGATTGGTGCTCAGCCTGGGTTCCTCCTTGCTAACATTTACTACCGTATAGCCCTGCTTTCCTTCCAACCCGTTTCCACATCTCCCCCTGCTGAGAGATCATTGGTGGTCACTTACTGCTCATCGCCCACCTTCTTTATCCACTCTACATCGCACTGCTTGCACGAGGAAGTCATTTCCTGCAGAAGTAGAGCATGAAATTAGATTAGCAGGTTGCTGGTGGGATATTGGACAAAATTTGACAGCACAGGCAGATCAAGACAGCAAAGAAAAACTTTAAGAAAAAAGCACACAAGCTCAGGGATCATTATTGATATGTAATCTCAGTATTTTACCAACAAAGAGACAAGGGAGATCTTTTTTTCTTTTGGAATTTAATTACATAATATGCTAAAATTTATTTTATTTACAAACATTTTAGAACTAAATATATGATAGGATAAGGAGGCTCACATAACATTAAGGAAAATGGAATGGAGCACGGATTCACTGAGCTGCAACTACATTCCTAGAGTACGGTTCACTCAATCCAACATTTAACGCAAATTCTGCCTCCAGCTTCAAAACAGAGTTCATTGCTTGTTGTCAAGCTGAGGCCCATGGCTGAACGATGATCTAGCCTAATATGTTACTATTCTTTAACATGTGCATGCAGCCACATATTTCTAATTTTAAAATGGTTTCTTTTGGATGTGACAATTCCTTTTCTTTAAACCATATTTCATGTTTCTACATGTTTTCAAATGTTAGTATTATAATATTTTATCTGATTTTAAAACTTTAAATGTTTTGACACAAGACTTGACTAGACATGTGAATGAATGACAAAAGTAATAGGAAACTTTCCACATGTTGCTGTTCTATATAAGGCAGTAAAATTGCAATATATTGTTTGTATTTCTAAGAGGTGCTGTGTTTATATATGGATTTTCTTTTTTAGTTTTATAGGTTCATTGTGTCTGCACAAAACAGTTAAGTTTGTGATTGGCTTTAGGGTGATAAAAGATCAAATGTGCAGAAGTCTGAATATTGTGAACACTTTTCCAAAGTGCTTTAAACTTAACATCTGAGCAGGTTGCTGAAATAGCTGTGATGCTGTGAACCAGGCTGAACACAAACCGACACTGACCCGCTCCCTCTGGTCGTTCTGCAGCTGCTGGATCTCGTCTTTCAGTCGCTCTACCTCTGCCTTCATCTCCTCCTCCCGCTGACATGCCCCCTGGGCTTCATGCCGCGCCCCTTCTAGCTCCGCCTCCAGCCGCTGCAGCTTCAGGTCGGACAGCGCGTCCAGGCTGCGTGAGCTCTGAAGGGTCAGGGCTGGACAGTCCAACACTTGGTGGAATAAAACAAAAAAATAAATCTGTGGCATCAAACACAAATACTGAGCTTTCTTTTTTTTTTTTTTTTCCTGATTAATGCACCTCCGTGTCCATGGTTGTACAATCGATGACTATAAAAGAGCCAAAGAACTGACTTCCACCAAGGGCAGCATTCTTCAGTTGGTACCTGGGTGATTTGATCTGTGTGGGCTGGTTAGTGATTCAGCTTCGCTCACACAGTCCTTGAGCTACAGAAGACACAGCAACTGCACAGCGGCATCATCCTTTATCTTTGCCTCTGCCTCCTCCATAAAATTCTTATATGTGCAGTCACAGGTGCAAACATTCAGTATAAAGTTAGCACTATAACATTTTTATCATATCAGTACCTCAAATTTAACCATATAAATAATGAAAGACAAACAGCTTTGATGCAAATTTCCATGAGTTCTCTGCCAGTTTGATGCCTAAGCAGAACGACAACTCCTCCTCATCAGGGTATACTACAGCACAGGCATCTGTTGAGGCGGCAGTGTGGCACATTTCTTCCATGTTCCAGCCACCCACACCTCTGACAAGGTCACAATGCAAAGTAATTAAAGTTAAACAACCTCATCTAGTTCAGTCCCTCCATTATATTGCAGACTGAACAGCATTGTTTCCACTGCACTACATTTTTGTTACAAACAAATTTGTTTTCCCTTTTTTTCTTTTACACATTTGGTTGGGCAGGCTACCCACAATGGAGATCATTTGGTGGTGCAGATGGGCTGAATAATGCAGATTTACAGCACACATTCTACTGTGCCAAATGTTTTTAGAGCCAAAATGACTGAAGTTTAACTGCAAAGCACTTTTTAACAATTACATAACAGTTATTTGGTAACTAGGTCGGAAACTGGTAACTTTGGTAACTTAAAGTCTGAAAGTACAGATTAGCTGAAAGTAGATGTCTAAGCTACCTTGAAAAGTACTTCATTTTACAACGACTTTACTGAAGGGCATTTATTCCAGAGTTTTCCAATATCATGAAAAACATTAAAATGCCAAGAGTATTTTTAAGCATTGTCACTTTAACATATTTCTTCACTATTTATACCACAATAGCAGGAGTAAATATCAATAATAAAAGCTAATATAGGGAATTTACTCTGTACATTTCAATGTTAAAAATCCTATTTTTTATTTTCATTTTTCACCAGTGTCCCGATGAACCTATCTCAAAATCCATCTAGCCGTCTTCGATCATCTGTTTGTCAGCATCACAGGTGCCATTCTCCAACAGTCTTAGCGTGAAAGGTGGAGTACACCCTGTACAGTTCAACAGTCCATCATAGAAGCATGCTACCATCCCTAAGGAACAACATAACATTCATGTTTTTTTAAAATTAAAAGAAACACAAAATTGGGTGAGAAGGACCTTCAGACTTCATGCAAACTCAGATATATGTTTATATATATATATATATATATATATATATATATATATATATATATATGAAGGATGATGGACTATCTGGAATCATACAGTCCAACAGAAGGCAGCTGTGCTAATTAGAAACCCAGATTTTCTATGAAGTGACCAAAAAGACAAGAACAACTAAACAAAAACCTCACTTAATAAAAAACAGCACGTGTATGAAAGAGGAGAAGATAGAATGCTGAGTCAGATAAATAGAACAAATTTGTCCAAATCTACACACTGTATCCCAGTCATAAATCATGTAAAGAGCAGTTCACACTGTGGCAAAAACATTGTTTCCCTATAGAGCTGAGCAGCCAGTAAGAAAAAATGCAACACTGCGGATTTAAAAAGTTACGGAAAACGTGAAGAGACGGGTTATTTTCTTGTGGCCTCTATGTGTCTTTAAAACAATCGCTCTATTTGCTTAAAATCCTGCTGAGACGCACTCATATTTAGCCACAATTGGTCCAGTAAAACTGTCCATTAATTGCTTGTCATAGTGAAATGTAGCTTACTGTGTTTGTCAGGGCCGGCGTGAAGCTGCAGATACTGCATGTCTTTGCTGTGTAGCTGCATGTTGAGCTTCTGCATGGACTCGTCCCTCTGCCTCAGTGCAGACTCCAGGTTGAGGATACGCTCAACATGTTTCTCCACCAGATTGGTCTGTAATTACACATATAATGTACGTAGAATAACCCGAAATGTGACACAGCTGAGAACAAGGTAAAGCACGATTTATTTTTCATTTTTCTGTGGGGTACCTGTTAGCATCCTGTGACACTTATACTGTAGCAGTAACAGGTCAAACACAGACACTACCTGGGGATTCATTTTCAGAAATAATACCCAAAATATACAATTAAGATTAAAGAAATACAAAAAATCAGACACACTTAACCAGACAAACAAACCAAACAAAATATGAACATTTATGGAAATAAAAAGATGAGAAACGGCTTAAACAGGGTACTCCTTTAAAGCCGAGGTCTAAATTGGCAATTTAAATTATTGCATATGTCTAAATACAAGCTGTTATCTCAGGTTTTAAGGAAAACACCCAGGATTTAGGTGTTTTCTTAGACTGGCTTCCAAACAAAGAAGGAAGACAGGGTGGCAGGGATTTAATGATATTAATATCTGGCTTTGATAACTGCATACAATTGTTTTGCACTAAGGAAGCCACACATGAACCAAAAGTCTTGCATGTGGAGAGTCTTATGCAAAAGTGGGTGGAGTTCCCCCCAAAAAAAAAAAAAAAAAAAAAAAAAAAAAAAAAAAAAAGCACTACATCATATTTTTACTCAAGTAAAAGTAAGAAGCAGTGACTAAAAATACTAATCAAGTGCTGAGAAACTCAACATAATGAGACTTTCACAAATCCCATACCAGCATTGGATATCAGCTCAGATAATGACTAATTTGACTGACATATTGGATATCGGATATCGAAGATCCAATCCAGAGCACTTTACATAGAACTGGTATTTCTTTCTTCTTGCTCATTTGTGAATAAATAACATATAGTGTTATTTTTCACCTCTTTAACAATATTTATCTTAAAGCTAAAACCTTTACTCATATGGCAAGATATATGGTTCATTCATCCAACATTCAAATCGGATTGCTATCACATATCAGCCGATATGCTCAGCCCAGGTATCAGACCAGAAAAAACTGGATAGATGCCTTTCCAATAACATTATAGTAACATTTAATTTACTATATGAAATTATTTAATACAGACAGAAAAAAAATTAAAGTTATTAGCAAATTCTGGTATTTAAAAGACTATAAGAAAAGTAATAAAAACAACAACAACAAAAAATCTAGGCAGAAGAATCACTTTTCCAAACCATTTTTATTTTAAACATAAAACTTATGAAACCAGTACCGCCAGTGACAATTTTTACAATATTTACTTCCTACTGTACATTAGCTTGACCTCCAAATGTTGCAGTAGGTTCACTAGATATAAATTACAACTGTGTTCAAAAAGTAATGCTTGTTATGACTTCAACATTAAAGCTGAAGTCTGTAAGTTTTTAAAAATCACTTTTTTGTCATATTGGCTAAAACTGTCCCTATGCCCAGACAGCAGTACATGTGATATGTAACCTGTGAAAAAAACTGCTTCAATTGGTCCCACATACTGCCTGTATTTCAATCTGGAAAGAATAATTCGGGACGAGCCAAAACAACCAATCACAGCCAGAGGAGCGTCTGATTGAGTGTCAATCACAGCTCACACACGCTGAAATGCGACATACTGGCTCGCATAGGTTCAGCGGTTCGCCTTGGTCATTTGGGTTA